CTCGCTCGCTCGCACGTGTCCAGTCTGCAGTCTGCTGTGAGAGGGGCTTGTATTCCTAGAATTCTTTGTCCAGCTACTCGAGTAACGCGGCGCCTGATTTGATGATGGGGTCTTGGGTACTCGAGTAGTCGTGCAGCCGATATATGCCCCAGGGGCCCTCGCCGCCTACTCGTGTCCGCGCGCGATCCACCGAGCTGCTCAGCCGGCCTCGCGACGATATCCACGCATCGATGCCGTCGCCGCCTGCCGAACAGGATTTCACTACACGAGCTGAAACAACCGAGGCGGAGCGCAGCTGCGTTGCGGACGAAAACGCCTGGACGCATCCGCCAAGCATCATCTGTCCGCCTGGAGCGGACTCCTCCGGCTCCTCCTCGTCGTCCTCAGAAACCCCCACGCCAGCACGGCCGAGCTCGCCGGCGGCGCCGATTATGCGGACTATCGCCTCCGTCGGAAGCATGCTGGAGTCACTCCAGTCGTCAAAGGCCACCGTCGCGCCGGTCGCCAGCCTCAAGCTCTACGACGGGCTCGGCTCGGATCAGGTTCGGGAGATCACGGTGGATCGGCTCAAGTGGGCCTTCTTCTCCCTCGGCCTCCGTGCCGGCGTCGCCAGCACGCTCTTCGTGCTGCTGGTCGGCTTCGTCATCGCCGGCTCCGAGACTGCCAGCGTGGAGGCGATCGCGGCGCTGTACTACCCCCTCTTCCGCGCGATGCTCCTCCTCTCCTACTTTGGGATCCTCTTCGGGGTGCTGCTCTTCGCGTGGAAGCGGTGCGGGATCGACTACACCGCCATCCTCGGCGTCGACGGCGGCCGTACGAATGTCCACGCGGTGGTGTGAGGCTATGCGCCCCTCTCGCTCGCCCTGCCCGATTACGTAGTTAGTTAATGATAGACGCTCACCGGTAGTCTACCTGTAGACACTCCGAGCTCCAGCAGTGAGTGAGGTTGCTCCAACTCACGCGGACCCTTCCCGGACCCTTCTCCGACCCTTCCCGGACCCTTCCCGGACCCTTCCCGGACCCTTCCCGGACCCTTCCCGGACCCGGCCTGCAGGTGCGCGCGTCCACCTCGCTGATGGGTCTCAACTTTTCCGCCTTCGTCCTCTACTGGCTCGCCCTGCTCGGCATCGTGCCGCACGCGCACGCGTGGCCCGCCTCCGCGCTGCTGCTGACCCTCGCCTACCTTCTCTGGCCGCTCGACCAAGAGCGGAATGAGACGGCGTCGAGAGTGTCCAAGCTGACCCGACGATGATCCGAGACCACAGGCCGTTCGACCACATGGCGGAGTGGAGCGACGCCGCCCAGCGTGCCGACTGCGCGCGCTGCGTCGGGCGGGTCCTGCTCGCCGGCCTCGTCCCCGGCACTGTGAGTAGCACAGCCGTGAGTAGTGCAGCTGTGAATAGGTCCTGCTCGCCGGCCTCGTCCCCGGCACTGTGAGTAGTACAGCTGTGAGTAGTGCAGCTGTGAATAGGTCCTGCTCGCCGGCCTCGTCCCCGGCACTGTGAGTAGCACAGCCGTGAGTAGTGCAGCTGTGAATAGGTCCTGCTCGCCGGCCTCGTCCCCGGCACTGTGAGTAGTACAGCTGTGAGTAGTGCAGCTGTGAATAGGTCCTGCTCGCCGGCCTCGTCCCCGGCACTGTGAGTAGTACAGCTGTGAGTAGTGCAGCTGTGAATAGGTCCTGCACGCCGGCCTCGTCCCCGGCACTGTGAGTAGCACAGCTGTGAGTAGTGCAGCTGTGAATAGGTCCTGCACGCCGGCCTCGTCCCCGGCACTGTGAGTAGTACAGCTGTGAGTAGTGCAGCTGTGAATAGGTCCTGCTCGCCGGCCTCGTCCCCGGCACTGTGAGTAGTACAGCTGTGAGTAGTGCAGCTGTGAATAGGTCCTGCTCGCCGGCCTCGTCCCCGGCACTGTGAGTAGCACAGCTGTGAGTAGTGCAGCTGTGAATAGGTCCTGCTCGCCGGCCTCGTCCCCACGACCTTCGCGTCCAGCTTCGTCGCCGACATCCTGACGTCGATGCCCAAGCTCTTCATCGACCTGCTGCAGGCGGTAGTACAGCGGCAGGAGTACGCAGCCGGATCCAACACAAGACCACCACGCCGGAGAGCACTGAGTCAGACGCTGCCAAATACTGAAGGATCCTAGTCTCGGACCATCTCGGACCATCTCGGACAATCTCGGACCATATCTCAGCTCTTCCATATCTCAGCTCTCCTCACCTCGCCCCGCCCCAGACCAGCTGCATCTACCTCTCGGGCGAAGCGCTTCGCTCCGGCGAGTGGGACCCGCAGAGGCGCGTAGTAGTAGAGCGCCTCTGCAGGAGTAGTAGTAGCAGCAGCAATAGCAGCAGCAGCAGCAGCAGCGTGGTGGTAAAGTAGCGCAGTATAGTAGGAATAGCATCAGCAGCGGCAGCAGTTCAGGTCGGCCCTGTTAAACTGCTATGCTTTCGAAATGACTAGCGACAGGCGCGCCTTCGAGCAAGGCCTCTCTCGACTGCGCGGGGCCCGTGAAAAAGAAACGTCCGACAGGTATTTCTTCTTCTAGGCGCGCCTTCGAGCGCGGCCTCTCCGTCTGCACGGGCGACACGCCGGCGTACCGCCACGCCTTCGCTCTCTTCTCGGTGCTCCCGTTCGTGCTGCGAGCCCTGCAGTGCGGCCGGCAGCTGCGCGACGCCACGGCGGCAGGATCGAGTGGCTGCACCTCGGCGCACCTCGGCCACATCTCGGCTGTAGCTCGGCTGTAGCTCGGCTGTTAGTAGCACGGCTAGATCTCGGCTCGACGACCCTGTCCTCAGGCTCGCCCGAGTGGCGGCGCCACGCGCTCAACATTGCAAAGTACGCCGCCTCGCTGACGGTCCAGGCGGGCGCACATGACACAGCCACACAGCCAGACAGCAATGCAGCCTAGTGCATGACACACAGCCACACAGCCAGACAGCAATGCAGCCTAGTGCATGACACACAGCCACACAGCCAGACAGCAATGCAGCCTAGTGCATGACACACAGCCACACAGCCAGACAGCAATGCAGCCTAGTGCATGACACACAGCCACACAGCCAGACAGCAATGCAGCCTAGTGCATGACACACAGCCACACAGCCACACAGCAATGCAGCCTAGTGCATGACACACAGCCACACAGCCAGACAGCAATGCAGCCTAGTGCATGACACACAGCCACACAGCCAGACAGCAATGCAGCCTAGTGCATGACACACAGCCACACAGCCAGACAGCAATGCAGCCTAGTGCATGACACACAGCCACACAGCCAGACAGCAATGCAGCCTAGTGCATGACACACAGCCACACAGCCAGACAGCAATGCAGCCTAGTGCAACCGTGCGCCGCCTCGCTGACGGTCCACAGTACAGTAGGTGCAAACTTAGTTAAGATCTGAACCCCTCTCCACGCCCCAAGCGACTCTAGCGGCAGGAGACGTGGCTTCACTCCACACAGACCTGAGGGACGGGGGGGGGGGCGACACAGTCACACAGCTGTGACCAGGTCCTCTCACTCATCGCGTCGCCCGAGACTCCGTCCTCCGGCCGCTCGCTCTGGCTCGCGGCGTCTCGCGTCTCTTTGCACCCTCGGCGTACTCTCGGCTACTCTCGGCTCGACTCTCGTGCAGGCTCGCGGCATCTTGCGTCTCCTCCCTCTTCGCCTTCCTCTGGGACGTGCTCGTCGACTGGGGCCTCGGCCCTCGGCCCGTCCGACGCGGTGCAGTACCCTACCAAACCCGGTACCCAAATCCAGTGCAAGAACACATAGGCCCTCAGCCGGTGCGACGCGCCGTGCGCTACGCCATCGGAGAGCCGGTCTACCGAGGCGCGGCCAACTCGGGGCCCTTCCTGAGCGCACATACGGCAGTCGTTTCACGCCGACGGCTATGAACAGGCAACTCGGGCGCCGCGTTCCTGCTCTGCAGGACAGCAGTCTCTTCACACCGACGGCTGTGAACAGGCGCGGCCAACTCGGGCGCCGCGTTCTGGCTGCGGCCGGTGCGCGCGCTGCCGACGCTGTGGTACTTTGTCGGCATCTGCGTCGACCTGGTCGCGCGGCTGACGTGGGCCGTCTACATCTCGCCGCACCAGAGGGTCGTGCAGGCAAACGCTCTTTGCTCGGCTCTGAGCTCGGCTAATCTCGGCTGACCTCGGCTGACCTCGGCTACCGTCGGCTAATCTCGTGCAGGCGAACGTGACGCTCTTGCTTGGCGCGATCGAGCTCTCGCGCCGCGCGAGCTGGGGCCTCTTCTAGCCGAGATGTAGCCGAGATGTAGCCGAGATGTAGCCGAGATGTAGCCGAGATAGCCGAGACACAGCATGGCGCCCTAGCTGATATGGCGCGTCTTCTTGACGAGACAGTCGCATGCTACGACCCTTAGGCCTCTTCCGGCTCGAGTGGGAGCAGATCCGGCGCAAGTCGGTGTGAGTAGTACAGCTGTGAATAGTGAAGCTGTGAATAGGTGGGAGCAGATCCGGCGCAAGTCGGTGGAGGTGCACGCGGACGACGCGCGCAGGCAGCCGCTGCTGCCTGACGGCCCGCGGCCGGCGCGAGGGTGGGTGCAGAGGGAGGGCGCGCCGCGGCCCGAGTACACGCACGACCTGATCAGTGCGGCGCTGAGCCAGAACATCAGGTCGATGACCACTCGGGCATCGGCCGGGGGCATGCACGTGAAATAGGTGGCGTGCAGGGTCACATGGCGTGGGCAGCTGCCCCCCCCCCCCCCCCCCCTTGACATGGAACCATGCCGACATTAGAACCAGCTAATACGCGCTAGTCCGAACCCGTCTTTTGTTGTGCAGCCTTTAAAGGTAAGGTAAGGTAAACGTCTCCACACTCCACACACACAAAGTGGTGGGGCAACCGCCTGCCTCGCGAGAGCCGCGGCGCGCCACTCGTCCGCTAGCGCCGCCGAGCCCCACGCGGGGTCTCCCGCAAACCAGTCCACGCCCTCCACCCTCCCGTCCGCATCCACGTCCGGACCGCCATCCGAACTCGCCTCGCCCTCGCCCTCGCCCTCGCCCTCGCCCTCGCCGCGCGCCTCGCGGCAGCCCCAACCTCGGCAAAGCCCGCCGCACATGCCATGCGCGACGTAAGCCTGGCGCAAGCCAGGCACACCCCACTCATCACCGGTGGTGAAGAGGAGGGGCGCCTCGCACAGCTCCTGGTACACCCCAAAGGAGTACCCGCACCCGCGGCCCGCCCCCCGATGTCCAACTGCGTAGTGCGCCCGCCACCACGCCGCCCCGCCGCGGCGCCGCCAGCTATCGTGTTCCGGATGGTCAGCACTAGAAAAAGAATTTTACAACCAAAGGCGGTCGCACGAAAAGGAAACCTGACACAGCGCCTGCTGCGCGCGACTCGAGGTCGTGCGGCTCGATGCTGGCGGTCATGGAGGCCTCACCTTCAAGAAGGGAGGCCATGTGGACCAATCGGGCGACGGGCCGCCGCTCTCCTCCCCCTCCGCCGGCGCCGCGCCGCCGGGGATAATCATTCTCTCTGCGTTCTTGCACATGGAGAGCAAGATACTCGTTCTGTTGCCGTCCCAAGCTGTCACTCCCCTTTCTCCCGGCCGGGGTGGGGCTTAGGCTGTACCCATGTTTCCTCGCTCACCCCGTCTCGTTTCCTTTCCGTGTTTCTCTACAGCACCCTCTCGTTTCCTCTCTAGTTTCCCGAGGAAACTCCGCGGAAATCATCAATTCACGGGCTCTGAGGCTGGTTTGGGCCCCAAATCAGCCAACTCTCGGCAACATACCGGGTATTTTGCGGGTATACCTGGAAAACCCCAGGTATACCTGGAAAATACCTGGTATTTTGCCGGTTTCCTCGCGCGGCCGCCGACGCGACCGACCCCACCACCCTTCCCCGACCCCGCCCTAAACGCCCCCGACAGCGAAGCCCGCGCCGCGCGCGGCACCGCCACCGACTCTACATCCGACCCCAGGGCCTAGGCGGCCCGCGCCATGAAATCTAGCCGTGTGTGCTGGCGTCCGGGTCCCAGCGGGTTTTCACGTAACAAGTACACACAACGCACTGAGCGTACAACGTGAGAGAGTACAACGTACAAATCAACCCGCTTACTAATACCTTGGCGTATCTCTCACTGTACCTCCGCTCTGACCTATTACTGCTCTGACCTATTACTGGTCGCTGCAACGTAGCTGTTCACTGTAGCCTGTCTCCGACATCACGTACTGTCGCTGGCATCATGTCGGGGCGCGCAACTTCCTCCCCGCCGCCTCCTTTTGGCCGCCGCCTCCTCCTTCCCCGACCCTCGCCCCCCCTCCGCCCCTGCCCCAGCTACGACAGCCTACGCGACGCGCGCACGCTTCGCCCGGCGCGTCTCGTCGGTGCGCACGATGGGGTGCTTGTCGCGGTTGGCGGCGGTGACGTCCCGGCCATAGACCCCAGCGTCCTGGTGGATGGGCAAGTCGAAGGTGGCCACCTCGTGCACGGTCTTGCCCGGAGGCAGCAAGACGAACTCGTGCTTGCCCTTCTCAAGGCCGACGACGCCCGAAATGATCTCCTTCTTGCAGCCATTGTCGCCCTTCTTGTCGGCGCCGTAGCGCGTGTCGACGAAGCTCTTCCACTTGTCGCGGCCTCCGGGATAGCCAAGGAAGACAGGCCCACCGATGGCCGTGCGAACGATGGGGTGCAGCTGCCCGACGCACTGCGTGGAAAGCAAGACGATGATGCCATACTTGCGGCAGAGGTTGAGGAACTGCGCGATGTAGGCGGACGCGCCGAACTTGCCCTCACTCTTTGAGTGCGGGTCGTACGGGCACAGAGCGCCGACCTCGTCGATGACGATGGCAATCTTGGGAGCGTGCTGCTCCGAGCGCAGCCGCCCCGCCGCCGTTGGCAGCTCACCACGCGCGAGCGAGTGCAGGATCTGCCGCACGGCGAGGATCTTCTGCTGCTCGTCCAGGTTGGCAAGCGAGATGATTGAGTGCTTCTTCTTCTCGTGCACTGGGTCGCGGAGCAGCTCCTTCGCTGTGAGCGGGTAGACAGAGTCGGCGTCGGGGTTGTCGTTCTCGACGGTGGCGGTGGCCGGGACGTAGAGGATTCCGAACGGGCCGACGTCGGTCGCGCGGCTGACGTGGGCCGTCTACATCTCGCCGCACAAGAGGGTCGTGCAGG